GTTTGTCCCCACTCCCCTCCCCCACCAATGGCGACCGGGCTTAGCGAGAAACCGCACGGGGCATCAGGCTGTGACTGCCTGAGCAGAAAGCCGGCTCCCGCGCGCACCCGCCCAGCTACACCGCCTCGGCCCGCCCCAGCCCGCCTCGCGGGGAGGACCGAACAGCCTTAGGCTCTCAGCCCACCGCCCAGCAGGCCCCGGGGGCCGGCCGCCTGAGGAGGGAGGCTCAGTACCAAAACATGGCCCAGCTCGGGGTTCATTCCCCGGGAAAGAAGTCGGTACACCTGCCAGGTAATACCTCTAAAGTTCACGAAGACCGCCACCTGTCACCTAGGGGGCAGCTGAATGAACCTGCGAGAATTTCGGCCTCCGAATCTCAGAAAAGGCGGGAAACGGCTCCACAGGCGCGGCCAGCTGGGCGTCGTGTGGCGGGGCGAGGGCGGTTTAACGCCTAAATAACCGTCAATAACCGCCAACCACATGAGCATGCGCAGCGCAGCGCGCACGACGGACATCTCGCGAGATTTTGCCTTAGGTCGGTAACGGTTCCTACCCCAGTTCTGTTGCTGCTAATAGCTCACGTTCTGGAAGCTTCAGCGGTTGTCAAAGGACGCTAGGAAAACTCTGGGGCGCTCTGAGAGGCGGGAGCTGGGCGTGAATAATCCGTGTGTGTCCTGAAGCGCTCCCAGGGCTAGGAAGGAAACAGATACTCGAGCAAACAGTTATAGCCACGTGTCGTCACTTCAGGGCCGTCATTTTAAGGAGTCCCTAGGACACAGGGCAAGTGGCTCACAGTGGCTTGGGGGTCGGGAGGCTTCGGGATGCGCCCCGCCTCTGCGGCTGTCGCAGTGGAGAATAAAAGGGTGAACGCTGTGGCCAGCTCGGGGGGTGGGGAAGAGCCCCCCGCAGACGGGAGGCAGGCAGAGGCGCGGGGACTGCGAGGGAGTCGCCCCGGGTGGGGAGCGAGCGGGCCCAACGCGCGCGATCTGGGCGGTGAGCACGAAGCGGGGAAAGGGCGGGAGAAGCGACGGGACACTCCGCAGATACGAAGGCCTTGCGGAGACTTGGGTTTTAGCCTTCACGAGTGGGAATCCTGCAGAATGCTGAGCGGAAAGGGAGGCATGATTAAGGTGGGAGGGAAACGTGTAGTCTGGACAGGGTTTGGCTTACGGGCCGGGCCTCCAGGTCCAGCGCCCGCCCCGGGGAGGCGGGAGGAGCTGAGCCAGACCCTGGGGCGGAGGTGAAGGGGGTTCGGCTGTTCGGGACAGGGACCCGGGGCGTGGGAGGGGTCAGCCGTAACGNCTGTGACAGGGACCCGGGGCGTGGGAGGGGTCGGCTGTAACAGACAGGACCCGGGGCGTGGGAGGGGTCGGCTGTGACAGGGACCCGGGGCGTGGGAGGGGTCGGCTGTAACAGACAGGACCCGGGGCGTGGGAGGGGTCGGCTGTGACAGGGACCCGGGGCGTGGGAGGGGTCGGCTGTAACAGACAGGACCCGGGGCGTGGGAGGGGTCGGCTGTGACAGGGACCCGGGGCGTGGGAGGGGTCGGCTGTAACAGACAGGACCCGGGGCGTGGGAGGGGTCGGCTGTGACAGGGACCCGGGGCGTGGGAGGGGTCGGCTGTAACAGACAGGACCCGGGGCGTGGGAGGGGTCGGCTGTGACAGGGACCCGGGGCGTGGGAGGGGTCGGCTGTAACAGACAGGACCCGGGGCGTGGGAGGGGTCGGCTGTGACAGGGACCCGGGGCGTGGGAGGGGTCGGCTGTAACAGACAGGACCCGGGGCGTGGGAGGGGTCGGCTGTGACAGGGACCCGGGGCGTGGGAGGGGTCGGCTGTAACAGACAGGACCCGGGGCGTGGGAGGGGTCGGCTGTGACAGGGACCCGGGGCGTGGGAGGGGTCGGCTGTAACAGACAGGACCCGGGGCGTGGGAGGGGTCGGCTGTGACAGGGACCCGGGGCGTGGGAGGGGTCGGCTGTAACAGACAGGACCCGGGGCGTGGGAGGGGTCGGCTGTGACAGGGACCCGGGGCGTGGGAGGGGTCGGCTGTAACAGACAGGACCCGGGGCGTGGGAGGGGTCGGCTGTGACAGGGACCCGGGGCGTGGGAGGGGTCGGCTGTAACAGACAGGACCCGGGGCGTGGGAGGGGTCGGCTGTGACAGGGACCCGGGGCGTGGGAGGGGTCGGCTGTAACAGACAGGACCCGGGGCGTGGGAGGGGTCGGCTGTGACAGGGACCCGGGGCGTGGGAGGGGTCGGCTGTAACAGACAGGACCCGGGGCGTGGGAGGGGTCGGCTGTGACAGGGACCCGGGGCGTGGGAGGGGTCGGCTGTAACAGACAGGACCCGGGGCGTGGGAGGGGTCGGCTGTGACAGGGACCCGGGGCGTGGGAGGGGTCGGCTGTAACAGACAGGACCCGGGGCGTGGGAGGGGTCGGCTGTGACAGGGACCCGGGGCGTGGGAGGGGTCGGCTGTAACAGACAGGACCCGGGGCGTGGGAGGGGTCGGCTGTGACAGGGACCCGGGGCGTGGGAGGGGTCGGCTGTAACAGACAGGACCCGGGGCGTGGGAGGGGTCGGCTGTGACAGGGACCCGGGGCGTGGGAGGGGTCGGCTGTAACAGACAGGACCCGGGGCGTGGGAGGGGTCGGCTGTGACAGGGACCCGGGGCGTGGGAGGGGTCGGCTGTAACAGACAGGACCCGGGGCGTGGGAGGGGTCGGCTGTACGGGATAGGGATGCAGGGCCGTGGGGCTCGGTGGTTTTTCACAGCGAGCAGCCGAGGGGGGAGAGTCTAAGCTGGCGGCCTAGCGACAGGCTCGGGAGACGCGAGGCGGTGAGCGCGGTGGA